AGCAGCCAGCAGCAGCAGCTACCGCTGCTGCTGCTGGCTGCTCCTGCTGCTGCTGGCAGCTCCTGCTGCTGCAGCTGCTGCTGCTGGCTGCTGCTGGCTGCTGCTGCTTCTCCTGCTGGCTGCTGCTGCTGGCTGCTGCAGCTACTGCTGCTGCTGCTGCTGCTGCAGTTACCATTTGCACTTGGTACAAAACAAAATAATTAACAGTGATGTAAACGTTTATAAACAAGCTTTTGTATAAATTGTTATAAAACTTTTTGAGACTGAAATTGTTTTAAGACGTCAACAATTCACATTCTCTCAGGTCCACTCAGAGCAGCTTATTATTTATTTAACCAAATAAATGTTTATTTTCCAAACTGAGGTCATTCAGAGAGCTGTGTACAGCAGGTAAGATATTGATAGTTGATTATTAGTTCCACAGAACACCACTTCCAAAGATTTGAAGTACTGCTTCAAAGCCTCCTTACTGGTGTTGAGCTTTGGTTTGTGAATTTAAAAGTGAACACAGTGAGAGTTTAAACGTGGTTACATCGTGACATCGAGTCAGAATCAAACCTCTGACTGGCATCTAATCTAGATAAAAACAAAAAGCTCGTACATCAGTTGTTTTCTGAACAAAACCATCAACAGAGACCAGTTTAAACGTGTGTGAGGGTAAACAAGGGCTGAGAAACGTAATGAGTGGATGGTCTGTGATGCACGTTGGACCACTGTTCAGAGAAGTGTCCCACTCTGCACCCCCATGCTTCACCCACACAGGTACTCTCAGGAACGCTGCCTGATTAGAGCCTTGTCTTAGAAGTGTGTGTGGGTTTGAACACGCTGCATTGTCTGGCATCTCCTTCACACTTATGTTTAGTTTCGTTGCACCTTTTAGGCCAAGACAGAATCCACTCATGATGAGTTCACTGAGAGCTGACATTTTATTTCCTTAGAGCCGAGGCTTGACCCGCCACAGTGTGGAAACACAAATGCAACCACGATCCCAGTGTTTGTGTTTGGACGGAGCAGCAGGAACCCCGAGTTTGACATCGATAACTGGAGTGCTGCCACGCTTCATCTCGTTCTTCACACCTCCGCTCGTTGGTGAGCTCAGATAATCCTTTGCTCGGCACAACTTTGGGCAGGATGAGTGGAAACAGCTGGGAGGGGGCAGGTTATCACCGACACAGCTGAGCTCAGAACATAAACAACACAAAACGTGACATCATAGTTTCCCAGTAACTCATGGAGTTTCTACAGTCCTCTGCACCTCAGAGTCCACTTCAAATCAAAAGTTCATTTCTTCCTAAATAACAAAGGTTTCACTCAAACATGAGCTTGTTCTTGCAAACACACAAGCAGCTTGTTTCAGTGTCGTAAGTCTTGGGGGCCTTCGGACTTACTCGAGCTGTGGCTTTGCTCCATCGTGATGAAGAAGAGACAGACTGCTGAGGTCAGCAGGAGGTGCATGGACTCGTACAGTAATTTGGGTGAGAAGACGCTCCATATGAAGAGATGGTAGCGCAGGACCGTCACCAGAACGACGTAGGCTGCAGCAGGCATGGACCGGAGCAGGGCCAAACAGTAGCAGCCGTGGCTAACGGAGACCGGACTCCTGTGGGGAGGAGGAGAATCCATGAGGGAGAGGAGGAAACAAGGAGGAGGAACAGAGAACGCTGAGGGAAAGCAAAGAGCATGAGCTGCTGTCTGTCTGCACAGTTTGAATTACCAAAGACTCTTTGATGATTTATAGTCGTGTAACAATTTACACTCTCTCTGTGTGTCATGCACCCACACAGGTTCCACCACACAACTTTAAAAAGGGAACACGTGAAGCGAGGTCACAACAACAAACAAGCATGGAAATACTTTCTAATTTTATTCAACAATAAATAAAAAAATAACACCAAAATAAACTAAGTTAAAGACGTGAGAATCAGAAGAGTACAAATCCAAAGTGCAGAGTGAGACCGTTCAGTTACTGAAGACGTTACAGGATGTTTGAAATCTACGAAAGAAACAAAAGGATTTAGTTTTAGTTTGGTCTCAACATTATTCCATGACCAAGGTGCAAAACAAGAGGAAGCTGTTCCAAGTTCATGAACAAATTCTGGCAACGCTGAAGGGGAGCCAACTTGAAGACCACAACTCATACCAGGTCTTCAAAAGTATTATTATTTTTTACTAACATAGGAGAGGACTTTACCTAATATAGCTATGTACATACAATCATACAAAACTTGGTTTTCTTAGACTTAAAGAGGGACAAGAAAAGCTATTTATAAAGCACGGATTGACTTGTTCTATTAACACAGTTGAAAAGAAGTGTAGAGAAATACAAAATACACACAACAAATAACAAAGGATGCAGTACACATATAAATATTATAGTACTTTAAAGATAAAGAAAAGATAGAACTTTATTGATCCTGCAGGAAACCAGTGGTACACAGATGCATTCCATCAATTAGGGATTTGGATAGTGAATATAGTTTTGGAGATGAGTGGGATTTTTTGGACTGGAATTGAACTGGGAATGTAAGTAATGTAATAATGAATGTAAGTAATCAATATCCTGATGCATGCTCAATAATCCAGGTAGAAAAATCCAAAAAAGTTCAATCTGGTCCTCTGGACATTCAAAAAAACAAAA